TTTAAAAAATTAATTACAAATAAGCATTTTTTAAGTTTCCATTTTCAATTTCTAGTGTGGTAAATATAAATCTATACAACCCACTTGTATTCCACTAATTTTTAAGAGCATAAAGAGGTCCTGAGACCAAAAGGCTTGAGTACCACTGAAGGCATGGTAAGAGGTAAGTGACAACACAGCCACCCACCCATACACCCCAAGCTCTTCCTACCTTTGCCCTGGAAGACTATTACTGCTATTTATATCACAGAAATTTCTAAGAGTTCAAACTCTCTACCAACCAGTAAGAAAGAAGTCTGGTTGGGGTAAAATTGGACAGGAAATTAAAGGCAAAGAAATTAAATGCTCTCTGCTCAGTTAGAAGGTTGCCATTCTAATTTGAAATCAAAATTCTAGGCAATTAAATAAAAGATGTTTCAAAATTAACCACCCTCCATGTTTATACCATAAGCAATAACTTACTTTGCTTTCATATTCCTTCCATAGTTGCTTGAAAATTCGTACAAAACCCTAAGCAGGCCGGGCGCGGTGGCTCACGCCTGTAATCCTAGCTCTCTGGGAGGCTGAGGCGGGCGGATTGCTCAAGGTCAGGAGTTCAAAACCAGCCTGAGCAAGAGCGAGACCCCGTCTCTACTATAAATAGAAAGAAATCAATTGACCAACTAATATATATAGAAAAAATTAGCCGGGCATGGTGGTGCATGCCTGTAGTCCCAGCTACTCGGGAGGCTGAGGCAGGAGGATCGCTCAAGCCCAGGAGTTTGAGGTTGCTGTGAGCTAGGCTGACGCCATGGCACTCACTCTAGCCTGGACAACAAAGCGAGACTCTGTCTCAAAAAAAAAAAAAAAAAAAAAACCTAAGCAATTAAGTACAAAAGCTAAATTCTCAGAGGTTGATATAATCCACTTATCCTCAATGAAAAATTTAAATTATTTCATACTACCTTCATCTTCAAACTGTTCTCCTACCAAAATTGAGGCCTGTGCAGAAAATGCCATACTTGCATATTAAAAAGACAATGCAAGGCTTACTATGGATAAAAATAGAATTAATTTTTGAGTCATAACATTTCTCACAATTTCTGTAACATATAAAGTAAAAAAATTTAAATTCAACTATCTCAGGCCAGGCATGGTGGCTCACAGCTATAATCCTAGGACTCTGGGAGGCCGATGCAGGAGGATCCCTTGAGCTCAGGAGTTTGAGACCCTGTCTCTACAAAATATAGAAAAATTAGCTAGGTGCAGTGGCATGCACCTATAGTTTCAGGTACTTGGGAGACTGAGGCAGGAGGATCTCTTGAGTCCAGCAGCTGGAGGTTGCAGTGAGCTATGATCATGCCACTGCACTCTATCCTGGGCAACAGAGCAAGACCCTGTCTCAAAAAAAAAAAAAAAAAAAGAAAAGAAAAAAATCTCAAAGTGGCCAACTTCTTAATGTACCAATCTAAAAGGAAAGAAAAGTTTGAAAACAGACTTTAGTTCTATTAGCAGTCATTTTATTTCAAGATACACTACTCAAATTGAAAAACAACTCAGTTTAATATGGGAGGAAAGGCTACATAAGTTAACTTTAATTTGTTTAATACTGGAAATTCTTTCTTGTCATCAAAATATTTTCATAACTCAGTACCAAATTGCAAATGACCATTTAGCTAAGCTATTAGGAAGGTTCTGGGTCCTCTGGCCTCCAGGCTGGCACCTATTATCCAAATTACTTCACTTTTCAGGTATGTTTAGCATTTAGTCATCCTATAATACAAGAAACCTTATAAGAAAAAAACACACCCTTGCTTAAATGCTATTTTTCATTAGAAGACTTTAATTTAATGCTCCTCTCCTTATTCCTCACTACAAGTAGAAGTAGTCCAAGAGTGATGTCATGGAAAACAGCTTCCCTAGCCTTTAGAGATTGGATCCAGTGAGAATTCTAGGAAAAGCCTCTACTGGGGACTAAAACCCCAAATCTTTTAAGTTACATTCTAACATGAAATCACAAATACTGTAATGTTAGCATTTCAGTTCTCTGCAAGAATTACGCAACTAAACTAAATCTTTCTGAAGGTCTTGATGTTATGGTACAGATTTCCTGCAAATATTTAAAGACTATGATGCAGAATCATTAACTAAGTTCAAAGACCTTGTCAAAGACAAAGGATAACTTTTCTATCCATTCCTATTTGCTTCAGTGATTCAACCAGATGAGTTTTAAGGATCTTATATTAAAAGCAGAAAATATGAGAACATATTTTGCCTTTCCTAGTTTCTTTATTTCAAACTTAAAATTTCTAATTTTGAAAAGGCCTTTCATTTTTGGACCAGCAATAACACAACATATACCCATGGCAGAGATGAACTATGAGAGCCTTTCCAATGATTCCTAAAATGGCAATAATAATTATCTCTTATTACTTTCTCCCTTGTTGCTGCTGTTCCTTGAAAACCAGCCACCCTCTCACCTTAAGGCCTCTCTACTTGCTGTTCTCTCTGCCTGGATCACATTATCCCCAGATACATATGGCTCCCTTCAGGTCTTTAGTGTCATCTTTTAAAATTGCAAAACCCCACCCATCCCATCAATCCCCATCCGCCTTCTCTGCAGCAAGTATATTAAATGATGATATAGGCTATCTATTTTACTTAAGTTTACTTCATACTTCAAATTTTTCTTTTGCTTCATTGACTGTTGTAGCTCCAGCACCCAGAACAGTGCTTGGCACATAGTAAATGCTTAATAAATATTTGTTGGATGAACAGATAATTTAATCCTCACACCCTTCCATGTTCTGTAACCATTCTGATTTAAAGATGAGAAAAATCAAAGCTCACAGAGGTTAGGTATCTTGCCCAAGGCTATGCTTGTTAATAAGTTGTAAAGTTGGGGTCTGTCTGACTTTAGAGCCTTCAAGATTAACCAGTATTTTACAATGCCTCACCATGATTCCATCTTTCATTTCTCTTCAATAAAAAAACACCACATGAGCTACAGTATTCAAATTTGGAGGAAACATATGCTAATAAATTAATTCACTCCTTTGACCAAGCTAAAGACGCCTTCTCAGTTAACAGTTATTCACTCTCAAAACATTTGTACAAGGAAAGGCCAAACAGGCCAGAGCAACATCACTTGCGGAGCGCCTCTTGTTCAAAATCAGGAAAAAAATGTCTTTAAAGGTACTAAAATATAAAGCGTTTCTCTTTTTTCTGTCTCCTTTGACTTGTCTCTGTCTTTTTTTATTTGCTGTTTAATGTCGGTCTAAGTAAAGAAAAATTAAAAATGTAAATTAGCGTGAATTTTACCGTTCACCTTTATACTGTACAATGCCAGTTTGACACGCAGGGTTATTAAACCAACTGTGGGACCCTTCTGAACACCTATAAAGCCAAGATTTTAGCTCCAGATAACCCAAATCAAGACAGAGAGAAGGTCAAACCTTGAAATTCCCAATAAAGCAGTGATTTGCCAAAATTTTATCTTCAGGACAAGTGATAAATACAATCCATAAAAGCAACCACTTTATAGGAGGCTTTTCCTTTTGCTATTTTAATGCTGCTCACCTTATATTATTCTGCCTTTTTACAAAACAAAAAACATACTCCGAAAGACAACTGGTATTGGACTAGGGGATTATAAATTTAATAAACATCTACTCAGAAAACCATTTGTTAGCTAAAAATAATATACCAAAAAATGCTTCTCTTTCACTTTTTGTGGACCATTTAAGCCAAACCATACTACATTTTTGATGTGCCAAGTTAAGAATGATTCCATACTGATCTGTTACACATATAAATTCTGGCAAATTCTATTTTCAAACCACAAATATTTACTATACTATTCTTTTTCCTAAATTAATCAGCAATGAAGAGTGCAAACGAACACCCTTTACTACTGATAACTGTGACTCTAAGCACCTACTAAGTGTTATAATGATTAAAAATGAGAATTACATAAATATTAAAATGCCAAAAAGTTGAGATTTTCTATACATTTCTAGATCTATTAAGAATTACAGAACCATGAATGCATTTATAAGCTCTTCAAAAAACGATTTTCAAATTAGTAGAGGTATTCAGCCATCCTGTTCCTTAGATATGCAGGCATTACATTTAGGGCATATACATCTAAAAAGCATTTTCTAAATTACAACTTAATCAGATTAACAAAGGAAAACAAATTCAGAAAATATAAAGGACAAATGCAAGGTGTTAAACAAATATTCTAAGAAAGAGGGCCTAATCGGCCTAGAAAGATGAAAAGCAAAGCCCTGCAGTAACGTTAAATTTGAATTAAAGAATACCGTTATTTAAATAGGCAGTTAGCATTTTGTAGGAGGAAGGCCAAGCAACGTGACCATTATATATCGATCCACAGCACTGCTTTGCTATTCCGTACTTATTTGCTCACACTTATAATATAGAAATAAAGAGACAGCAACAGTTAGCCACTACAACATTAACCACTCTGGCAAAGGTTATTTAAAAAACGGCCTTGCATTTTTACAACACTTTATAGCTATAGATTATTTTCACATATATGACCTCATATAGTCCTCGCAACCCTGTGATGGGGGTATTACTGACTAGATTTCATAGATACGAAAGCCGAGGCTCCGTACGCGATTTTCTCAGCGTCACCCAGTCGAACCCAGACCTTCCGATTCCACGTTTTAACCCCACATTTCGCATAGCTCTATTTCAGGCATAAATAGAATTTTTAAAGGGAAGGAACGGGTTAGGGAAAAAATAATCATGGTACCTGCAGCTGTATGCTGCAAAAAATGGCTGAATTATGCTTCTTCCTTTTTTCTCTCTCTCTCTCTGAAAAAAAAAAATTAGATTTCGAACAATTTAAGTAAACTCAAAGACAAATTAGGTCTCGGCGTCTACCAAAGGTTTGACTAAGGTCTGTGTAAAGAGGGCCACGAAACCGGTGCCTAGCTCGGGGCTGCGGGCGAAGCCCGGGCTCCTCAGGCCGGCGGCCAGGGGCGGCTACGTACCTCGGGGGTCCTGTCCAGCCTCTAGTGGACGGCAGTCTGCATGAGGAAGAAGCGGGCCGGCGGGACGATCGGTGGGCGCTCGGGCGCCGGGACGGCACTCGGTAGGCTCCTCGAACGTCTACAAGGGGCCGCTCCCGGAGCCGGCCGGGGCGCTCCAGCGGGGGACGAGTCTGCGCGACTGCAGCCCCCTCAGAAACCAGTCCTGGGAAAGAAGACAGCGCTGAGTCGCGAGTCCAGACAGTCGGGCTCCGCGCGAGGCGGCGCGGCGTCGGGGCCGGGGCCTGCCTTGCCAACGCCGGGGGGCCTCGCAGCGCCCGGCGGGGCTCGGCGGGAGGGCCGACTGCAGCAGCAGGCGGGGGAAAGGGCTGGGGGATGGCGGGCTGAGGTAAAAGCGCCGGCGGTGGCGGCGTCGACGACGGCGTCTCCGGGCTTCTGCCCCGAAGCGCGCCGAGCCTCAGGATCACCCACGCCGGGGGTGGAGGAAGGCGGGAAAGGGGCGGGGCAAGGGGCGGGGTGTGCGGGGCCACAAGCCAGGGGCCGCTCCGGGCCGCGCGCCCCCTGCGGGCCGCGGGAGCCGCCCGGGGCCCGCCCAGGGAGGCGGGGCTGGCCCGCAGGAGGCCCCATGCGCCCGAATCTCGACGCGCAAGCCCGCCAAGCCGGGAAAGAGGGCGGGGGGTGGGAAGCCAGGGGATGGAAAGCTGGGCCAGGGAGGCCCCCTCGGCCCCTGCTGGCGCCCCAAGGGGGCCAGCGTGCAGCCTAGCGGGTGTTTACCTTCTCCCTGGTCGGGCGCCAACGCCGCCATCTTTCAGCCCAATGAGCGTCACTTCCGGCGCCACGGGAGCGGGAGCTGGTGTGGGAACCGGGTGGGGGGAGGATTGTCCTGCGCCCACTGCGCCCTGCGTCCTAGCCACTTGCGCGCCACCCCAGCTCGGCCCCACCGAGGAAAAGAGGCGACCCGGCGCAATGGCTGAGGACCCGGTCCGACGCTGCTTCCCCCACAGCGCCGCCGTCGGGTCTGGGAACACTGGGCTGTTAGCTCCTCCCCTCGCAGCGGTCCTTCTCCGGCTGCGCAAGCGGAGGGCCACCAGCCACTGCGGTGCGCCCACCTTGGACAAGTTGAGGGTTAGAAAGCTGGGAGTGTTTTTTTTTTTGCATCTTGCACACGGTGGGGGCGGGGGAACCGGGACAACGTGGAGAGAGCTTTGCAATAGCTACCTGTTATAAAAGTGACTAGATCTGCACCAAATGACATCATTTTTGTAAAGCAGTTTGCAGTGGTTTATTGCGTCACACTTCTGCTTGGCTTATAGCACAACGACACGTTTCATAAATAAATTTCCTAGAGGTGGGAAAATTAATAAAAAATGGCATGTCTGCACCACACGGAGAAATGCCGGATCTAAAAAAGCTGTTTCTACTTGCGTAGAAAATAAGCAAGAACGAACATTCAGAGGGCAGTGATTCTCGTTCCTTTTTAACAAATCAGCTGTAGAATTTTAGCTAATGCTTTTTAAATATCACCTTTAAGAATATAAGAACTACACTATAGGACTGTTTTGTAAATTTATTATTATGCAATGTCTTTGTGGGAAAGGTGTAGATGACAAAAATACAGTTGGAAGCCAGTGGTTCTACAACTAACCTCAAATTAGGGCATCCATTGCCCATTTTTGATCCTAAACTGAGGTATTTCTGCTTCCCCAACCCCCACTCCCACCCCCCGCCGCCATTTTCTCTCTAGACCAATATCCCGGTGAACTTTCCGTGAGATGTGTGGCTAAAAGCAATCATTATCTCTTTCTAGCAAAGTTGAACATGCCATGTTTCCAAAGAGGCCAGAATAGCATACTGTGTACTGTTTTGCTGAAGTAGACTACTTCGTGGGAAAAGCAGAGAATCACCTCAATCTTTTGGAAATGGGGAAATAATCTTCCCCTTTTCGATTTAAAGTATAAAACAAGCTTAAAAAACTATAAACCACTGAAATTCCCAAGTTGCTCACACATTCTTCCCATCTTTTCCAGTAGATCCTTTAACATATTTGTTCATCATTTTTAAATCCTTGCTGTATTTGTATCTATTACTGCATGACAAATTACCCCAGATTTCACCTTAAAACAAATTAAAACATTTTTAAAACTATAAAATCAACATTAAAATTGCATACATTCAACTTTTGAACATTTTAATTTTCATAAATTATTCCTGGACATCTGAAAACGCTAAATTTTTATTTTTGTGCACTAATTAACACATACATTTTGAGCTATACATTACTATGTGGCACTGACCTGTCCAGAGAGGCTTCTGTTCTTGATTCAGGCAGGAACTGAAATGTTTCTGTGTTCTGTGTAGCAGGTATAAATGTACAGTGAATGATGTCATAAGCCATTGTGATCAGTGTACACCCCTTATGATTTTACATGATTTCATAGGTGGTATTTCATTATGTTCAAAATGTGCTTTTTTGGATACTTTACTGCTTCTGAAACTGGGCTGTGTTTTTCAATCCTTCTATATATTTACTATGTAAACTCCCTTCAAAGTTATCTTTAATCAGTGATGCCTCTTTCATTCTCATATAAAAAAATAGTAGTGTGTTATATATAGAATCTCTAGTACCTTAAGAAGACATTCTGCTCCTCCATTATCAAGGAAAGTAAAAACCCCTCATTTAAGTAAACTAATGCCTCCAGGTAATTCCTGTTTTCAATTACTTTACCTACCAGTTGCTGGAAAGTAATGGAAGTTTCTAAATACCTTGAGGTTATCCTTTCACACTTGGTTAGAGCCCCACAGGGCAGAGGGAAGCTGTGTTTCCTAGCCCTCTGGCCTAAGTATTTAAGAATACACATTTCTCAATCGCTATCTATCCTATTTATCTAGAAACCCTCAAGGTCAGAGGTATGCTAGAGCATTGGGCCTGGGAATAGTGATGGAGTTGGAAGGAAGTTCCTCCCCAGGGGTTCTGAAGACTTAGGATACTGCATACCCTCCTCCACACTCCTGTTTTTGTTTTTTAAGAAGTTGAGGCTTTCCAGAAATCCGGAGTCTTTTGTAGTTGTCTTGGTAATCACTTTTCATGTAATTAGCCCCCACCCAATCAATCTTTGGGAGTCAGAGTAATATCTTAAGCAAACTCTAATAAAGCTGCATATGCATTCTCTTTCCTCTTGAAAACTGTTTTGTCACTATATAGCTGTTCAGAATTTTTCCAGCATTTTGTAGGATCCAGTCCAGCTCAGTACCTCGGGGTCCACTGGTATCCCCCAAATCAGTACCAACTTCTTCTAGGGCAAGTCCACATCAAACCCTATATGCCAGCATGTTCAAGCAGGACAGTGGCTGTCATCCTAAACATTATATCTTAGTTCCTAGATAGAACCTTCAAAAAGCAATCTGAGGGTCCCCAATTTTTCCAGCTTTTTAAATTCATTGTTTTAACAGCCAAATAGAATAACTTGAGCCCCATGGCCAGTTCGGTGGCTCACGCCTATAATCCTAGCACTCTAGGAGCCCAAGGTGGGAGGATGGAGAGGAGAGGATCGCTTGAGCTCAGGAGTTTGAGAGCAGCCTGAGCAAGAGCAAGAGTAAGACCCCGTCTCTACTAAAAATAGAAAAAAATTACCCAGGCATGGTAGTGGACGCCTGTAGTCCCAGCTACTCGGGAGGCAGAGGCAGGAGGATCACTTGAGCCCAGGAGTTTGAGGTTGCAGTGAGCTAGGCTGATGCCACGGCACACTAGCCCAGGCAACAGTGAGACTCTGTCTCAAAAACAAAACAAAACACGGCCGGCCGGGCGCGGTGGCTCACGCCTGTAATCCTAACTCTCTGGGAGGCCGAGGCGGGCGGATTGCTCAAGGTCAGGAGTTCGAAACCAGCCTGAGTAAGAGCGAGACCCCGTCTCTACTATAAATAGAAAGAAATTAATTGGCCAACTAACATATACAAAAAATTAGCCGGGCATGGTGGCGAATGCCTCAGGAGGCTGAGGCAGAAGGATCGCTTGAGCCCAGGAGTTTGAGTTGCTAGTGAGCTAGGCTGATGCCACGGCACACTAGCCCAGGCAACAGTGAGACTCTGTCTCAAAAACAAAACAAAACACGGCCGGCCGGGCGCGGTGGCTCACGCCTGTAATCCTAACTCTCTGGGAGGCCGAGGCGGGCGGATTGCTCAAGGTCAGGAGTTCGAAACCAGCCTGAGTAAGAGCGAGACCCCGTCTCTACTATAAATAGAAAGAAATTAATTGGCCAACTAACATATACAAAAAATTAGCGGGCATGGTGGCGCATGCCTGTAGTCCCAGTTACTCAGGAGGCTGAGGCAGAAGGATCGCTTGAGCCCAGGAGTTTGAGGTTGCTGTGAGCTAGGCTGACGTCACGGCACTCTAGTCCAGGCAACAAAATGAGACTCTGTCCCCCCCCCCAAAAAAAAATCGAGCCTTTATGTTGCATGACTAATAGGAAATTGGTGTCTTCATGAATGTTGGAAGATTCCTAGTTATACTAGGAATAGTATAATAGTATAACTATAATTATAGTTAACTATAATTCCTAGTTAGTTATACATCTTGGTCATCACCGGTCACCTCTCACTTGCACTGGCTCCTCTTAGCTTCTCTTCTTAGTACCTCTGGCCTTCTGGTCTGTCACCATTTCTCCACATTTCTCTAGTTCTCTCTGTCCACTTCTTCCTAATTTATGAACCTGAATCTCCACTTCCCTAGGCAAAGAAAAACCTAAAGCTATCACAAGGAAACATCAATCTCTTTAAACAGGTCATGGCTTTTAGAGATCCCTACACAGGGATTTCTTCACTGGCATCTCTAAGTCAGGTCTGTAGTCATTTGGTGGGAACCCTTTCTTAAGCATATCAACTGTTTCTCCCATCTCTTCTCTTCTCCAATGCCATGAGCCCCAAATCCAGCCCCTGGGCCAACCTGGGATAATACTAAATCCCTAAATATCCAAAAGGGATGTGGATGCAAAACCCACACAAAACTCCTGCAAAGTGTACTCCCCCCAAAACAGATGGTGTCTGAAGTATTTACATTTGTATTATTTCACCAATGTGGGAAGCTACTTGAGGAAAATGAATTGATAACTTGAAGTATATGTACATGCCCAAGAGGACTCAACGTGATCTGTCCTGGAACCAAGTGCTTCTCCACTATTTCACTTTCACCCTTAAAGCCTTAGCAAGCAAATATCTGCTGGCAGTTGTTAAAATAACTGCTTGGCCCCTGCTGCCAGCCGTCAAGGGTTCAGAAACATTCAGGCTTAGTCTCAGAGTCCCCAACACATTGTGACAGGTTTAGGGAACATGGGGTGTTATGATGTAACCCAGGCTTGGGGCTTCTCAGAGTCAGGGATCTATAAGTTCAGGCCAAAGGGAAGAAGGAGAGGGGGAAATGGAGAGAATAAAAGACATCCACAGGCAAGTGTGTTCCAGACCTGGAGAGGCAGTAAGGAACTTTTAGAGAATTACTGATAATTTAGTAGGGTTAGAATGTAGGACAAAAGGAGGGGGAAGGGAACAAAGGAAAAGATCAGGCAGGCCACTGAATGTAGACTGTGGCAATCAGGGCTTCCACCCTCCTGTGTTGCCTTTCCTCCCGTGCTCTTTCCATTGTACCTTGTAATTGTACTAATTAACATATTAGATGATCTTTACATTATTGCGTTTTATTCCTACTTAATTCCATAAATTGTTAGTTTGGAATCTATTATACTAATTTATTTACTCATTCCATAAGTATTTATGAGTGCCTACTACATGCCAAGACCTGTTCTACACACCAGGGATCTATCAGTGAATAAAACATATGAAAATCCTAGCACTCAGGGGTGGCTGGTGGGGTGAGAAAAAAAAAGAAAATCCTAGCCCTCTTACACATTACATAAGTGAGGTAATAAACAAAATAAATAAACAAAATAACTGGGATGATGGGGTAGGAGGTGTCATTTGAGCCTTGACTTGAAGGAGATGAAGGACTAGACTGTATAAAGCCTGTAGGCCACTCTAAGGTCTCTGGCCTTTGAGAAACTGGGAATCATTGGAAAGTTTTGAGGAAAGGAACAATGTGGTTTGATACTTGGGCTGCTGTGTAAGTAATAGAATTTAGGAAGACAAGCACAGAAGCAGTGAGATGGGTCAGGAGACCATTCCAACAATGGAATGGAATGAAGGCTACTGTGCAGACAGTAAGAAGTAGCTGAACTCTGCAAATATTCTGAAGATAGAGCCAGCAGAATTTCCTGGATGTAGGGATAAAGGAAAGAGAGAGTCAAGGATGACACCAAGGTTTCTATCCTGAGCAACTGGAAGCATGGAATTGTC